ACACACACACACACACACACACACACACACACACACACATCAAAACAGGAATCTAATGTAAAACCTGCAGTGGCTTCCAGAACAGTAACATACAGTTTATCCTGACATCTTTTTCATATGAGATCTACTCTATGAGATCAGTTTGTGTGTGATCTCATCTGGCAGAAAGCAAACACACGCTCTCACGTAATCAGCTCTCGAGAGTCTCTGACTAGGGTTGGGTATCGTTTGCATTTTATCAATTCCGATTCTTATCAATTCCAATGTGATTAAAAAAATGTGATTAAAACATATTTATTCTGTCTCTTTTTGCAAAACATTTAATTGCGGCTGAATACCATGAACAAAAATCAGCCAGCTACATAAAAACTGGAGTCGATTAAGAGCTGTTAAGAGCACAATAGAGCTGCACGATTCTGGATAAATTTAGACTTTTTATTTATTTATGAAATCAGCCAGCTACATAAAAACTGGAGTCGATTAAGAGCTGTTAAGAGCACAATAGAGCTGCACGATTCTGGATAAATTTAGACTTTTTATTTATTTTTAAATGGAGGTTGTAGTTCTCTTACAATTCTGAAGAAAAAACATTAGTCAAGCAAACAAAATCTCATGGAATTTATGAACGGAATGATTCAATGACTCACTCAAGATTGACTTGTTTCATTACAGGATGAATCGGTGTTTTTGAATGAATCTCTTGAACGAATGATTCAAAGACAAATACATTTTTAACAGCCCCTTTTCACCACCTAAAAAAAAAATATGTGCACACAGGAATTGATAGGCGGAATCAAGTATCCGATTCTGGAATTGGAATTGATTTTTGATTCCCAACCCCATCTCTGACATAATAAACATCACACTGTATTAGAGCTGAAACTAGCAACGATTTTGATAACCGCTCATCTGCTGATTATTATTAACTGGATATTCCACATCAGACCCAATGCTCTCCTTTAAAAAATGTGCAAACTAAATAAATGCTATAACAATATAAAGGTGTCAAAAAATGTATAAATGTGCAAACTACTGTACTGTAATCTGGTTTTAAACAGGTGAGACTTAATAATATATTTTCTGATAACAAGTCGATATCTTATGCAACGTCTTTAGCTTCAAGAGCAAATCTCGTTTTAAGGCTGGATAGAAGGCAAAAACTAATTATGCTGAAGAAAGGGATTTTTAAAATCCTTTTGAAACCTGATAAAGAATGTTTCACTGTTTGAAATTGTACAAAAAAATCCTGTTTTCTCTACTTCATCAACACTGACCAAATGCTGTTTTGAGTTTTGTGTACAGGTACCACAAATAGTGTTTACAAAGGTAAATGTTTACAGCTTTACACGTGTAACACTATGTAGCAAAGTCTTTTGAGGCTGCAGCCAGAAAATAATGACGTTTCATTTTAGGGGCTGTTCAAATTTTATCATGCCACAGTGAGCTCATTTTTCAGTCTTTCCCACACATCACTGCTCCATAAAACTGGCCAGAGGAATCTGAACACAAAAGATGAAGAGTAAAAGTAAGTAGACTGACGTAGTCTTCATCGTCCTCCTCGGCGATCTCCATCGAGCAGTCCATATAAAACTGGCCAGAGGAATCTGAACACAAAAGATGAAGAGTAAAAGTAAATAGACTGACGTAGTCTTCATCGTCCTCCTCGGCGATCTCCATCGAGCTGTCCATGTCTTCAGTGAGTCTCTTCTTCCCGAGCGCCTCTCCGTTTGTTCTGGAGCCTTCTATCTTCAGCTCTCTGCACCATAACAAGACATTATACTCGTATTTACATGCTTTGACAATGAGATTCTGTTACAACACCAGCCTGATATAGAAAAGCTATTCTAAAGATCCTTTATAACATATTTTTATGTATAGAGCAACTATAGTTTGAAGAACAATATATCATCTGTGAGCCTGGAGCACAAAAGCAGTGTTAAGTCACTGGGGTATATTTGTAGCAATAGCCAACAATACATTGTATGGGTCAAAATTATAGATTTTTCTTGTATGCCAAAAATCATTAGGATATTAAGTAAAGATCATGTTCCATGAAGATATTTTGTAAATTTTCTACCGTAAATATATCAAAACTTAATTTTTGATTAGTAATATGCATTGCTAAGAACTTAATTTGAACAACTTTAAAGATGATTTTCTCAGTATTTAGATTTTTTTGCACCCTCAGATTCCAGATTTTCAAATAGTTGTATCTCGGCCAAATATTGTCTGATCCTAACTATCCATACCTCAATGGAAAGATTATTTATTCAGCTTTCAAATGGTGTATAAATCTCATTTTTTTTTTAAACTGACCCTTATGACTGGTTTTGTGCTCCAGGGTCACATATATGATCAGGAACATGTCCTGTAGTTATCAATTATAAGAAAACAATGTGTTTATGGTGTTTATGTCACACAGAGTTGTCTGTTTTAATGGAGTCACTCTCTTTCTCTCTTTCTGGGTTAGCATGGTACAGGTTAAGTCTGTGTGAGACAGGAAGACCCCTTCCACAACATCCTGTGGCCTCTTTCTTAACAGTATAGTGTGTTCGGATTGTTTGCCAGCAACTGCATCGCCAGCCTCACCACAATTGTGATTAATATCTGTGTTTAGTCATTTTTGTGTCAGTAAATAATAATAATAATAATAATAATAATATTGTTAAATAAATGTTCTGTATAATATAAATCTGTGAGAGCTATTAATTCATAAACACACTTTTGCTAGTAAACATCATATAATGTGTGAAACATTACATGATTTGTACATAATTTTCAATCCATTCTTAATTATGAAGCCATTTTAGACTTGATTTGCAACTATAATTCAACCAAGACTCTAAAAATGCAAAAATCCTGGATCATGAAATGTTGATGACTAGTGGTAAACAAAATGTTGTTTAAGATAGGTGTTATATTCAGGGGGTTTTCAGCCTGGTTCTCACGAGAGCAGGTCCTCATCAAACTGACCCATCAAATATAACTATATACAAGATAAATTAATAATAGTGATGATAATATTATAGCACTTTATTTATTCAGTTTTTAAATAAAATAATAAACAAAATAATGAAGTGTGATAATATTATATTTTAAAACAAAAAAGGGAGTATTAACATAATAAAAATACACTTATTTTATAGTAAACTTTAAAATAAAATGCTAATATTCACTTTTTTTTTAAATATGAGCTTTCATCATTTTCAAACTTACAATCAGCAAGATTTAATTTTGGTGGGTTGCCGGCAAGTATATGCGCTGCTGACTGAAGAGCAAATGAAATGTTACAGTTTTACATTGTGCTTTGAAAGCGGCAGCTAGATTCATGCTTTCAGTTCAAATAGAAATCTCATACAGTATTACACATTGTCGATTTAAATGGTAATTGTGCATTAACAGCGGTCAACCATGTCGTTTTTTATGTTGGTTGCTCACCTGCGTAACACTTAGGTGCACACCTGGTTATAAGACAGAAAGGAGCATTATGACTGGTCTGGGTATATATCCAGATGTGGTGCACTTTCAGCATTTTAACACACTGTGTAGTGTAGTTGTGTGCCGTGCAAACATAAATTTTGTGCTTTACTTGATTTGAAGGAATTTCCCTCAATTCATTCAGGAGATTTGCCACTAAAATAGCACAGACAGCACATACAAATAAACCCCAACATCACCTCCTGAATTCAAGAATTATTCATTAAAATGTTAGCCTTTTTTTTTTATCTTAATAATAATAGTTGGCTAATGAAGCTGAACAGCAGTCTATATTCATGACATAACAGTGTGTTACGTACATTTGGTGCAAATCACACCCTGAAAACGTATTAAGCTAACTGACTACATCAATTCTTGAATAAACTGACTGTATGATCAGAAAGATTGTCTGAAACCACATCTAGGCCTATGTTTAGGAACCGACCGGTCGTCAGCAAGACCAACAAATACATTCATCCCATAAAGCACACACCTGCTCCATGTTAAGCTTCAGTATAGACCAATTTGGAGTAGACGTCACAGTTACGTCACTTGCAGCTGTGCACGCATAGTGGTGGCAGAAAAACACTGGGAACAAGTGGAGGGAAATGGGTCAAATCCATGGAATAAGAGAAAAAATGTATTGTTGTGCATTTGGATGTCAGAATCTGAATGCAAATAATTTTTATATAACAGTTGTCAAAGACGCCATTTGAAGCTAAACACATACGTTTAAAGGAAAGACTATGGATGAAACCTGCTATGATTACTCTACTTTTAAAGCATAAATTTGATTTAAACAATAGGTCTATATAATATTCATATAGGGGACATATTGTATTAGCCCTACAGTTGAAATACATGCATGAAATACTGTTTAAACCTATAACATTTTACATAACATTTACCTAGTTTATCTCACAATTCTGACTTTTTTTCTTGCTAATGCAAGTTTATATCTCCAAGTTCGGACTTTATAACTTTATTCAAGTCAACAATTGCGAGTTTGTCAATTCTGAGGAAAAAAAGCCAGAAGTGTGGGATTATAAACTGAAAAGAAAGAATGACGAGTTCATTTTTCTTACCAGAATTGTGAGATATAATCTCGGAATTGCAAGAAAAAATTCAGAATTTTGAAATATAAACTTATTCCATGGCTTGAATAGACTGCTACGTTAAAACTGTCATTTTCTGCCACCAGATAGGCTCCGTCATCACTGTTGGCAAACACTGAAATTGGTCTATACTGACCACAGCAAGCAATCTGTTTATTTACAGCTGACTGGAAAATACCACAACATGACAAGCTTTATAGCAACACTACGGTGTTCAACAAATCAGTGAGAGGGATTTACAGAAACACATTTAAAGTAAGTATGAGGGTAGCATGCAGAATATACTGTATAATATGCGCATTTTGCCAATTTTATGCATGCATGAGTACCTAGCATTATATCATATATTTATTGAACAGTGTCTTTCATCACATTGCTGTTTTACAAAAGCAAGAGGCCACACAATCTCCATTCTGATTTACTGTGGTTAAGGGAATTTCACTTTAGCATGCATCATGCCTGACACTAAATCACTGTTCTGCTCGACCTCTCATGGCTTACTGCTTTAGTGAACAACAGAGATTACAGTAGTACACGGGGATCCTGCTCATTCTGACCAGTGCAGCTCCATGACTTACCACAACCTTTCCAGATGCTTGCGATCACAGGTTAAAGGAGAAAATCACAGAGATTACAGGATGGATTTTCATGTATGATTCTTGCAATTAATAGACTGTACCGATTATTTGTGTGCAAGAAAAAACAAGGTTTCAATGCCATTCACTGGGTGATTTGAGCTTTCAATCAAATCCACAGGAAGCTTCTTCGTTATTATCATTTGCCACACCAGTGACCTTATTACAGCCAGATAACAATTAATCAACTCAGCTTTATTTCTATAGCACTTAATACAATACAAATTGTTTCAAAGCAGCTTCACGGTGATAAACTGAAAAGTAATAGAATCCAATATAGCTGCAAGCAGCAATTAAGGGACCAAGCACAACAGAGGCAGAATGAGGAGAAAGCATGATTTTACTCAAACTGGCTAAAAGATCATACTCTTTAGCATCTCAAATGTTTCTCCTAGACAGAAATGAGGTTTCTGCTTGAGTCTCCTGCTTCTCAAACTTGTCTCGAGACAAAACTAACACTCTCACAATGGTCTCCTTTAAAGCTTTAGATGAGATCTCCCATGTTTCTCTCCCATTGTGATTTTGGATTCCTTTCTTTCAGAACTTTCTCATGTCTCAGTTGTGTCTACTTTTATTTCTCCTAAGTATTTTTAGGAGAGACATCTGAGACACTGTTGAGACTGAAATGAGAAATACATGAGAACCACCACTACGTCTCCTGAGGTTAGAAAGAGCAACCACTGAGCAATAAAATATTCCTATAATGGAGTCTTGATAGAGATTGCAGCAAGACAATAAAGAGAATATTCTATGTTTCTTCCACCACATTCTGTTTTGACTCTTTTTTTCTCAAATATTTCTCATGTCTCATTTGTTTCTACTTCTAGTTCTCCTAAGGAATTTTAGGAGAAACATCTGAAATGCTGTTGATACTAAAATGAGAGATATATGAGAATCTCATCTAAGCCTCCTGAGCTTAGGAAGAGCAACCACTGAGCAGTAACTTTTTCCTATGGGTAAATTCATTCACTAGTAATATGATTATCAGTTTTGACCAATAGGTGTTGCTGTAGTCAAATGAATGTGGTGTGTCAGTGTGAGGTGATGATAACACAATGTTTGGTGTCAGTATGTCAAAGATACAGACTCAGATGCAGTTTGGCGTCATGAATCAAATTCGTTGATGCTGTAAATGAAAACCATTTCGCCTATCGACACATAATCCATAACTTTTGCCGGCATGGTCTGAAGATGATTTGGGTTAAATTTGGTGAAAATCAGACCAACGGTCTAAGAGAAGTTTGAAAAAGTAGATTTTCAACATATATCAAAATGGCAGACAGGAAGTTAGGTGGCACTGTGCTGAAACTGTGCTGGACAGAATAGATTAAAGCAGTGTAGTGAAATAGCCTCATGTCTACTTTGGTGAGCTCTTCGACAAATTAATTCGTGTGTTATTCAGATACAGTTTGACTGATCAACTTCCATGGTTTTTAGTCGACATGGTCTGAAGATGATGCGTTTTTTTTCCGAATTTAATTTTCGTGAAATTAAACATACAGTCTACAAGGAGTTGGAAAAGTAGTTATTTTTTTAATCTAAATGGCAGAAAAATGTTTATAATGGAAAAAAATGTCATAGGATGCATTCAGATCATCTTGAGCCAAGAAATTAGAGGACGTCTAGCCCTTACAGTTAAAAAAGTTATTAGCACAAACGTAAGTGCAAACTTGAACAAGTGGTGGCGCTACAGAGTCTGAGTTAGAGACTCCAAATTTGGTGTGCTTTATGTTCAGACTTTCCTCTATCTGTGTGCCAAATTTCATAACTTTTTACCATACAGGTCTGTGGGATGCCATAGACTTCAGAGCGGAAGAAAAAGTCTATATATCCGAATAATAACGGATACAATAGATGCCTACGGACCTTCAGTGCTTGGCCCCTAATTACTGAAACTCAATTATAGAGACGATTCAATTGGTCACACTGAGTAAGGAACAAACGGATGTTATTATCAGCAATGTGCAGCCAATATTAATATATTTTAGAGCAGAACATAAGCAGGACATTTTTAATTCAAAAGGAATATTTCCTTGTCTTTTCCATGCTTGGATATCACAGTTTCTAAATTTCTCTGACAAGTTTTCAATGACTGAGAACCTTGTGTTTACAACAATACACTGCACTCAAGCTGACCTTCCTTTTCTATGAACACATGCTCCAGAAGCCATACTGCCTGCGATTTCCTTCTTCACTCATCTGATCAGAAATAAAACAAGGTCAGGATGATTTCACACAAAAATAGACCGAAACACTAAACAACGGTTTCATTTCCAAGATGTTAACTAAATCACTATAATAAGCTCATGTGACTGTGATTGAGCATACTACTATTTGAAATGTTTATCATTACATACTGCTTATTGTTTAACATGCTATTTTTATGATATCTGTCAGTATGCAGCGCACCTGCATTCCATTCTAAACACACACTAAATTTAATTTCTATTTCAAATCATTGTGACAGGTCAGTCAATGCAAGCGTGTTTCCCAGTGCTCACAAACAAAAACACAACAACTGCTGCCCAGATCAACTGCTGTTGAATGTAGAGCTAATAGGGCTGCAGGATATATGGCGATTATCAAAGTTGCCAATGTGCATATCTCCGTATGCATATTGCAGGGCTTTAAGTTATGTTTATGATGATGCAGAGAATAAACTGGGTATGCGACTGGTGTGTGTGTGTGTGTGTCTGTGTGTGTGTGTGAGTGAGTGTGTGTGAGAGTGTGTGTGTGTAAGTGAGTGAGTGAGTGAGTGAGTGAGTGTGTGTGTGTGTGTGTGTGTGAGTGTGAGTGTGTGTGTGTGTGAGTGTGCGCGCGTGCACAGGGTTTCTGCAGGCTTTATGAAAGCACAAAGACTTTTTAGAGACTTTTTCAAAACCAAAAAAAAAAAATGTAAGGATGTAAAAATGTAACAAAAGGAAGAAAATATGTCAAGATGTTCTTCTCTAAATGTAAATGTCTAAGGAGAAACACAATGAGTTTTAGCAACACTTCTAAAAACACAACTTCCAACACATCACCATTACTTTTAGTTCATTTTACAAAAAATAGCTCAAAGCAAATACTAGAAAATGGAAATAACTTTTACTGCCCCCTAATAACTTTTAATGTCCCTTCAGTGCAAATCACACTGCAAAAAAGTGATGCTGTTCCCCGGTATTTCTGTCTGGTTTTCCAGTGTAAAAAGATTCTTAAATCAATATACATTCACTTGAGAAGCAAAATGACAGAAGTCTTGTTTTATGAGAAACTGAGCAAAATAAAAAGGGTTTATGATTAAAAAAGAACAAATATCTGCCAGTGGGCTCAGAAAAATCAACTTTATTCAAAGGGAAAACAAGTTTTCATTCTCCACTGACAGATATTTGTTCTTGTTTTAGGCATAAATTCACTTAATTGTGTTCAATTTCTCAGAAAACAAGACTTCATATCTTAATTTTTCATCTTAAGTAAATGTATCTTGAATTAAGGATGTTTAGATATTTGTATGGGAAAACAAAAAAAAATACTGAACAATATATTATTTTTTAGCAATGCATGCAATGCATTTATTGTTTTTACATTTAAGACTTTCTGCTCTGATTTAAGACCTTTTTAAGGGCCTTCATTTGTGAAAGAGCAACTTGAGACTTTTTAAGACCCTCAGGAACCCTGAACTGAAACCTGCACACTGTGAGAGGGACAGTGAATATGAAACGCTCTCGTGGAGGTCACACACGCCACGTTTATAAATTTGAACACCAGCCTCAGTCTCCTTTGGAAGCAAGTAAAATAATAATAGCAAGCTAAAAGGAAGAGTATAATACAAGCTTTTGCATTAAATAATCTTTGACAGAGCTGCATTAATTTCACTAGCATCTGTTCTTTCACATAAATCACTGTCTTCACTGTGTCACCAGAATAAAATAAGTGACTGTTTAGAGCAAGAGTAGTGTAACTGGTGTAACATAATGAACAAAATAAATAATATTACAAAATTGCATTACTCTACAAAAAAGTAACAAATTGCGTTACTTAGTTACCTTTCATGGAAAGTAACATTTTATGTTACTTTAGCGTTACTGGTTGGGTTGGGCTTGCTTATTTGCTTGTTTGTTTTTATAACAAAAAACACAAAAGTTACATTTGTGGCAACTGTAAAGGTCCTTTCACACCAAAAGTGAAATGAATAAGCCTCAGGAGGAAGTGTCTTTGCAACTCACTCCCGATTTCTCTCATCACGGGGACAGGAGAGGTGTCAGTGAATAAATGGGAAGACAAAGTAACTTGCATTACTTTTTTTCGAAAAAAGTAACTCAGATATTTCTTTAAAAATTAAAAGTAATGCATTATTTTATTAGTTACTTGGAAAAGTAATCTGATTGCGTAACTCTTGTTACTCGTAACGCGTTACCCCCCAACACGTGATCTGAGGAATCGTTCAAACGCTGCAGGACGACACACACGCTCGACGTGAACACTTTCTACACATTTAACACTTCTTCAGCTCATCACTAACACTACGGACAGGGCTCGAATTGAGGGGGATGCAGGGGGATGGCATCCCCCTGGTTGAAAAAATGACAAAAAAACATCCCCTCTGTAAAACCACCATCCCCTTTGGATTATTAATGTTGTGTATTATGTAAAACTTATCATGCACATGAAATGTAAAAATTCTCTACTTCCGATAATTTACGAACTAAATAACAGTGATAGGCCAATCAGAACTCGGTACTGTAACAAGCTGCGCACAAGCTGAAGCAATGTCCTATTTCGCGCAAAATGGTTCAAGCGCAACTTTTGAAGTTCTTTAAAAAAAGACAACAGAAGGTATGATTTTTCCTTGATTAGAATTTAAAATCATCCCATGACATAATGTATGTTATGCTGTATGTGTGACTGTGTGGGACTGAGAGATGATAGGAGAACTGACAATATCTGACTTTTCAAAAATACAAACAAAAACACGTCCTGAGAGTCCAAAAGCATTCACTGCGCGATAAAGCCTATTAGAATGCAGTTAGAATGCCCTTATAACTTCAGCAATGAAACAAAAAGTACCCATGTATGAGTCTTTATGTTTTTATATTCAATGCACAAGCAATATACTTTTCTGAATATCAGCACATGTGCACGAGCACAAATGTGCTATTAATGTTATACAACATTGCAGAGCAACACGGTGTTTCGTTTCTTGAATGAATCTGTTTTTGAACGAATCGAGTGAGCCAGTGATTCAACGGTCCATTCAGATGGACTCACTTGTTTCTAATTGAATCAGCGGTTTTGAACAGATCATTTGATTTGAATGATTCAATAAATCATTTATTAAAACAGGGACTTGCTGCCATCTACTGGTGGTTTTATTGTCATCTTTATTTATGAATGGCAGGCCTAACCAGCCAAAGTGCCAGTATAAAAAAATCACATTCAGCAAAATATACTTTAATTATCAATATTGACCAAAATTCCTTCATTTCAGGCCCCAGAAGGAAAAAAGCTTATAAATAAAAGTTAATGTAATAAGGCTAATTTTTCATTAATTAAAAACCTTTTTTTACAAATTTTGTAATCATTGTGTAAAATTAGCTTCAGGACAACACCCCTCCTGAACATTTGGACCACTGACTACGGATGATCAGCGGTGATAGTGATGCCTCAGTGGCAGTGCAGGACTTACTCTTGCTGCTCCTGCTGCAGACAGCGCTCGCTGCAGTGAAGCCCGTCAGACAGGAAGTCCACCACGGAGCCCTTCCTGTTACAGCGGACACACACCAGGCCTCGCTGAGCCCATGCCGTCTCCTCCTTTGAGACCGGCCCCTCAGAGAGAGCTGAGGAAAATCAACACACATTTTGATGAAATAATCAATCGATCAATAACCAATCATCACCTGCAATATCAGACAAGCCTGTGTTCTTTTCAAATGTAAGTCTCTGGATCGATTTAAAATGCCATTATACACTAAACCTTGTTGCCTGGCACTTATAAAAGTGACTCAAGGTTTACTGAATCTTATGTTGTTCCTGCTTTCATTCCCAGATGAGCATGCAGGACATCAGAGATATCATCTACATCTGCTCCACTGTCAGTCAGTGTCACTACTCTTACAAAAAATAAGTTTATATGTTCATTTTGTTAAACAAACTTAAAAGTTCAAGCATACTTTCCAATTCACTTTATGTAGTAATTATTTTAGCATTAGCATACTAGTAGTATACATTTACATTTAGTCATTTAGCAGATGCTTTTATCCAAAGCGAGAAATGAGGACAATAGAAGCAATCAAAATCAACAAAAGAGCATAGATATGCAAGTGCTATAACAAGTCTCAGTTAGCTTAACGCAGTACACGTAGCAAGGTTTTTTTTCTAATTATATAATAAATAAAAACAAATAGATAGAATACAAAACGAATAGAGAAGCTAGTGTTAGTTTTTTTAAGAAAACAAGCAGTTAGTAATTGAATAGAGTGCAAGTCTAAAAGGAACACGTTTTTTTAAAGAATAGAATTAGAATAGAGAGTGCTAGAGTTAGAGGGTCAAATAAAGATGGAAGAGAAATAGCATGTATACTCGTATACTTGCAAAGGTACTATCGCAATATTTTTTCATTTATTAAAGTGTAATTTTACGTGTAAGCTAGTTTACATCTACATCTTTCTTTTGTATCTTGCTATTAAATCTTACAAAGAATTACAAAGAAACAGCAAGTAAAATTTTGTAAAATTTGCTTAACCTTTTTTATTAACAATTTACAGATGAACTTAGAAGTATACTGTTATTTTACTTGTTATATATATTGTACTTGTTTATGAAAGACCACTCTGTGTGCTCTCACAGTAAACTACTAGTTTAATAGTTGTTATACTGCAAGTAAACTCAAGTTTTTTATTTTTATTTTACATGCATGTAGCATCATAGTTATACACTGAAATAAATAGTATTATTCAAGTCAAAAATATTATTTAACGTCACCGAATCAACCAAAATACATTTATTTCTAACAACAAAACTCATTTATATGGTTTAAACCAGGCAGAAGTAGTAGCAATAGCAGGTTTTTGTATTTTTACTTTAACTGAACATTATTTCAGGTGATTGTGTTGTGACAGTATCGTAGTGAATGGCTGCATCTGTTCACTTGCACTAACATGATCAGCTGTAATCGCAGTGAAAATGAGGCTTTTCTCTTTTCATTTGACTAGATTCATTTGATTCACAGTCTCTGCTGTTAAATTATGTTACTGTGTAATTAAGAAAAAATGGCAGATAGAAAAATTCATTTCATTTCAGCCCACTTATTTATTTATTTATTTTTACCATAACAACCTAGTTGTTCGGAATTTGCTTGGTGAGCTCATCAACGTTCAACAATAATAATAACAATATACATTAAAATATACATAAATGCATAAATACATCTATAAATATGTGTCATATCAATTACAAAGAGTGAAATGTAGATGCATAGATACCAGAGGAATTAAGAGCATGCACAATCCCACAATAAGTGTTGTTCAGAAAACATGTAGACTTAGTTTTAATTGCTCTAAGGCGTCTGTCTGAAGGAAGAGGCATAAAGAGCTGTCTGGCTGGATGTAAGGGATCTTTCAGGATTGTTAGACCTTTTTTTCTGCAAACGTGAGACATAGATCTCATCTATAGTGGGAAGATCACAACCAATAATTTCCGAAGCAGTCTGAGTTAGAATAATATCCAACCATTTTTACCACTTTATGAGCACAATGAAGTGAAAATCACAGAAATCTCCAGTTTATGTCTATGGGCTGTTGAGTAGAACTACCTAGAAACTGTAAGCAGAGGGAAGGGGCAGTTCTAAACCCAAACACGAGCGTATGATTGTGTTTACCCTCTTGTGCAGTGGGGACGCTCCATGTGGTGGTGGCGTGAGCTTTCTTGCCCCTCTCCTCCTCCATCTCGTCCGTTATGACCTCCAGAACCCCAAACTCATTCACCCGGAACTAAAACACACATAACGGAGACGCTTACACACTGTCTGCAATGCTGAATGTACACAACTAACCTACACACTCCCACCAGATGACCGTCATTAAAACATCATAAAGATTTAATGCAGTAAACCGGTCACGTTTAGGTTCATATTCAGTCTTGTGTTTATATATACACTGCAAAAAGTGTTTTCTTACGTAGTATTTTTCTTGAATCAAGAAGCATTTACTTGACAAGTAAAATGACTTAAGATTTTAAGTCTTTGTTTTAAAAAAAAAAAGGCTCAAAATGTTAGTTTTTGCTTAAAACGAGCACAAATATCTGCCAATGGGGTAAGGTCAAGTAAATGCATCTTGATTCAAGAATGTTTAGATATTTGTACTAGAAAATAGGGGTGGCTCGATACCACTGTTTCAGAACCGATCCCAATCCGATACCAAAAATTCTGAGTATCGGCCGATACCGATATCAATCCGATACCAGCACAGTTATTTTTTTATCAGTTTTGAATTTCTATACCTCAATGTGTGTTGAACTGATCGTCACTCAACTATCGTTTAATCTACTAAATATAGACAATTTCTTTAAATTTAATAACAAACGGAAAAAATATATATAATCATAATCTATGACAAAATACTATTATAAACTAGTTTAGTAGATAATTCAGTAGCAAAAGTTACTCTAAAAAAATCATGAGTGCACAATAATTTTATAAAATCGAAACTTTTAGTGCAAAAAAAAACATTATTTAGTGGGGAACAAATAAAAGTGAATAAGTGTTGAACTAAATCTGGTAAAATGTTACACATTGCTCTTTGTATGGTTGTTAAATACATTCATGAAAAAAGTAATATATTTATATATAAATATTTAGGGCCTACTATAAAATTAAAAGACATTTATTTTAAATGTATAGCACAGTAATGAGGCAGCAACATATGATAGATAAGATGAACAAGAAAAACTATTAATAATCTGTAACTGTGCGAAAGTATTATGATACGAAAAGCTCCAATACAGAGCGGCACAAAGCGCTTATGCACATCCCGTGCACAGAATGATGCGCTTAAAGCAACACAGAGTCACAGCAGGCACAGCACTCTGCATAGAAAAGTTCAAAGCACAAAGGAAAGAGATATTGATGCATAGTGTATTAAATCTGTGTGATAGTTTATTGAGCCTTTTCTTTTAACAGTTTTAAATCTCAGTTACTGTGCTCGTGAAGAACTATTCACAGTGCTCTCTACTCCAGTGTTGTGATCTAACACAGTAGAAATTAACATGATTTAGAAACAAAACGAAACTCTAGCAAGATAAAGTCCTTTTATGCAAAACCATTTATCTTTATTTACAGATCAAGTATAATATTAGGAACATTGAGTCGTCTTGGAGAGAGTGTCATCTTTTTGACTGTCGTAACCAAACACGACACGCAGTTTGAACGCTGAATGGAGGATGACAGACAGCCGCAGTGGAGAGAAGAGTTTCC